AGTCGCTTGCAAACGAACCAAGTGAATAGCGGAGACGCACGAAAACGAAGTGAGTGAATAGCGACAACGAACGTTGTTATCCGTTGCCGCAATACACTCACTTCGTTATCGAGCGTCTCCGCTATTCACTTGGTTCGTTTACAAGCGACTTAAGCACTACTGTTGTTTCTTTTATGTATCATACGATACGTCTAGGTAATTTCAAAACACTAGAAAAACTAGCAGCTACTAGCAGCACTAGTGTACTCACTAGTAATACTAGTAAGCGATTAGCGAATACGTAAATAAAATTAGCTTACTAGAATTGCTACGAATGTCCCCTAGCAATTACATGGCCGTTTTCTGGTTCGGTAGTATTTGTTGAGGCAACGGAATTGGTCAATGGAACTGGCCAACTTAAAGTTGGAGAAATATTTCTCGTAGGAAAAAAATCATCTAATCATGCTTCCGTCTAAGTTAAGACAAAAAAAATCAAATATGAAATTTTGACGCTGAAATACACTGAATTACAATTATTTCTTTTACATTGTAATGAAGAATCAAACACAAAACGTTAACGATAACAATTATCCAAATGATCAAACACATTTTTTCTCAAGAGTTTTTGTAACAAAAACCCTTTAAAAGAAACTGAAAAGTTTTTATAGAGTTCTGTGGAGGAATATCTTTGAAATTGCCTTTGAAACAGATGTTTTACTTTGAATATAGCAAATTTTAATATTCTCATGATGAAAATCGTAATATGTCCTATCTCGTTTGTGAACTAACAATTGAAACACAAGTTGTTGAACGATTCTTTTAATAAAAAATATGTAATTTTTCATTATGATTTTTTTGATTTGCAAATATGATGAAATTAGAGCAACAAATTTAAGTCAGAAATATTTGAACAAGCCATTGACCAGTTTAATTTGAAATTAACTCTGATGAAAATCGCTGGATTACTGAATCTGCAGAACATGTGCTATTTATTATATGTATTATTTAAATATTGTTATTAATTTAAAAAAAATTGAGGAAAGAAACGAACTGATGCGAGTATAATTCAGTGGTGGTTATTTTTCGTTTGGAATTTTAATAACAGTATGATGAATGAATCGGAGAAATTAAAATATACTGCGGCAAAAAATAGAAGCTGAAGGGAAATTAAGATGCAATCATCATTAAAGTATGCTTTCGATTTCCGTTGAAGAGCCAGTAAATATCTAGGTTCCAACACAATAAGTTGTACATATTCAGGTATACTCAGAATAAATCTCAAACGGAATGTAAAAGGAACAAATAAAACGCCCGAAGTTATTTCAAATGTGTATCTAAAACTGTGAAAGAACTATCAACTAATTGGAAGATTTTAGTTTTCCACATACACCATTGTATGCACTAAAGTATTGTAATCAAATATTTTTCCATAATGTCGAAAGCTGCCATAAAAAGGCACAGAAAAAATTTATTTTAGCCATGTTGATTAGAAAAAGTTAGCTCTTTCCACATAAAATAAAATTCAAAATCTGGGTATATATATCATAAAATCGACGATTTTGCTCGAAAAATTACTGAGTTTATATTTCAACAGAATAATATAACTGTTAGAAAAGTAAGATTTATGCCTTTTACGTAAATATTTCATTTCAGAAAAGTTTTCATTCATTTATCTGAAATAATGAAAATTTCTATGTGAATCAAACTAAATTAATTCGGTAATATTTTAAAATCAATATTCAAATTTATCTTTGATATACCCACGATGGCATAATGAACAATTAAAGAAGTGAAAACGTAGGATTTATCCCATTTTTTGTTATTTCCTATGTTTTTTATGGTAACCATGTATTTTGTAATTAAATCGCAGATTATATATATATATCGTTTAGTTGCAAAGTGTATTTCAAAAACCTTCAGTACTTCTGAACATACATTACACATACTTGAAGATGGGAGATAACTCAGTGAAGAATGAATGAAAAAGTATCAACGATTAAACGAAAACTAATTGCTTGTGATTGTTGGCATTTTTCATATTTTACGAAGCTCATAAACAATAATTTCGTCTCGATCGCGAATTGCGACCTCGATGCAGTGTTTCGACGCTGTCGTCAACCACAGTCTACTACTTAGTTACTAAGTCTTAGTATATGCGTTGAAATATTTGCCAATTTATCAATATTTCATTAAGTTATAAATCATTTTCTTTTTTTCAAATGTAAACAACTTAATTACTTTTGAACGACATACACCCAGATCGAAATGTAATTTCTCCATTGCCAATTGAAGAAAAAACCAATCCGATGAATGGCTGTGTCGTGAAAAACTGTATATGCAGTTTACACAACAAAATATCAAGTCAACAAACATACCAAAATCAGATTTCAATATAAATTCTGATGTTGGTTTGTTTGATTAGTAATCTCTGCTTTATTACTATGGCATGAACTGAATCGCTTTTGCGTGAATAATTTGGGTATGATTTATATAATTTCTTTTTAATACAACTATTTTAATACTTTATTAGAATTAATTTTTGCTCGTTATTATGTTTTGCAAATTCTGCACACATCGCAAAATACATATAAGTTTGCGTTATTCAAGCAAAATTTTGTGGCGTTATTGAAGCCACCACAAACTAACAAAAATACACACGCGCCCACACACGCACTTGGACCATACTAGCCAATACCATTCATTTATTAATTAGAACATAAGAGGATCAGTAATTTTATTATCAAATTGATAATACCAAATGTCGGAATACCGAGAGGCGAATTGAAATTAAAAATTTAAAAATCGTTTTAATTTCATTTTTAAAAGTAAATTATGAAAGATCAAATCTCTTTATTATAATCCAAATTTTAATCAAAAATCTATTATTGCTTTCACAAATTAGGTTCAAAAAATTCGGCATTTTTATCACTTTTTCACGTCAAAAGTTAAACTATGTCATTTTTATACAAGCCGGTAAAATGAATTTTTTAATATGAAAAAAAAACTTCTTTGAAAAAAAATTATGTCTGCGAATTGTAGATAGTTTAATTTAACTATTGAACATAAATATTGAAAATATAAAGAAAATCAATTATATTTATTTTCCATTTTTCACTGTAACATTATTCCGGAATAAATCGTCCAATTGCCGACATATAAAGCACCGAAGTTTCAAGTGAAACACTTTGGATTTGACAGATGTGACAGTTAAATTCGCATTTGGATCATTGTGAAATTCAAACTAAAAATATTATACGTACTGATCTACGTAATATTTTTGCCATTTTACTGAAGAAAAATAAATTAAATTAAGTATGGAGCAAAACTATATCAATCTAATAATTTTATCTCCAATATTTTTTATTGTTTACCTCAATGTAAATAGTGCGTTCATGGGCTGTTAAAACTTAAAGTTGTTTAAGTTTTGTAGTGAAAACGCATGAAATATGTCGAGATTAGGGAGCCGAGAATTGGACGACGAATATCCGACATTTGGAGTTTTCGATGTTATGACGAAAGAATGGAAAAAAATAATACATTTTTGGAAAGTACTATCTTTTGAGAAACGCGAAATGAACCACAATTAAATTCTGCATCGAATTGTGTATAAAGTGATAATTTTTTCATTAAAATCAAAAAATTTAAATATTAGATTGAAGTTGAAAATTCAAACAAATAGACCGACATTCGGGCGAGTGTCCATATTATATTTGTTATGAACATTAAATACAATTGGTGATTCATATGAATTGTAATACTCGGGCTGCCTTTCAATAGTTCTAAAAACTTCAACAGAATTTCGATTTCAAACTGCATCGTTCACACGAGAGAAAAAAGGCAATTACTTATGATTACGGTTGCTTAACGTAAAAATTTTTTTTTTGAGGCGGGGGGTGTGGTTGTGATCGAAAAATTGCGTAGGGGGTCCCTGGAAAAAACACACCGACTTTTCGTTTTTTTCGATTTTACTCCTTCGCATTTTATTTCGTTTTTTTTTTGCTTTTCACTTTTCCAAAAGCATCATAATGTTCTTTTAGTAAAAAGCGTTAAAAAAGATACTGTTCAAAATTGAAAAAAAAAACGAAAGAAACGTTTTTTTCACTTTATATGCAGGAAGCCCTTTGATCTTTTTTACTCACTTGAATGCGTAGCACAAGCCGATGGTGATATTAATGTCCTATTAAATTGTTACATATGTTTTGTTTTGTCATAATAATTTAAAACGTCAATTCAAGATTAACTTATCACATATAATCACTATTACTCTCTAAGATATCGCAAATTAAATCGGAAAACATATTAGACACATATTTTTTATCACTAAATTTAAATTATCTTTTGTGAAATTAGTAATATTTTTAATTTCTGAAATGTGTTCAAAAATTCATAGAACTTACCTTTTACCATTTCTACGCCGTCTTTTGGTGGCGTAAACTGTGCTCAATTGGCTCATAGTTGACGAGCTGGTTTCAGTTTAGTTTACTTAGTTCGGTTTAGTTTATCGATGAATGGCAATTTCGCTGTTATTACCGATAGTTGCGTTCGATTAAGCAACGTGTGTACCAACGAAATAATGTTTTTGTATTTGGCGGTCAAGTTCGAATATTGGTATGGTTTTGATTGTGGTAGCAATTGCATTTGATGATGCAAAATCGAATTTGAATTGATTGCAGTCAAGCATGGTATAGATGCGACGGCCGTTAACCGACCATCGACCGTTGATGTTTTCCTAATATATTCATTTTTCCCACTGTAGTCAGTATATTTTCAATTGACTTTGGTATCGCACTTGATTTCTCGCTCAAAAATAGTCAAACGTTAAGACGCATTTATTTAATATACTTAATAACTGAGCATTATTTTCAACTTAGGGATTTAAGTTTATTTAAAGTGATCAGTATATTATGTCATAGGTGGAAAATATGTTGTCAAACACGCTTTGGGCAGTCAACCCAAAATCTTTATAGTTAATTACCACAGGGTTCACATTCATCGATATTATTTTTTATAAAGATTTTTCTTTTTTTTTCAGTTTGTTTAAAACCTAATATTTACTCCATTATACAACTGTTATCACATCTGAAAAAATAAATAACACCGATTTTTATCAATTTTTCTATTTAATCGTTTTTGGCGGCAATTCGATGACTCCGTATTTTTACTTCTTAAAGCAACTATGGCGATGAAATGCTATTGGTGCAGAATATTAATAATGTGTGATTATTTTAAACAGAATATGAAAATTTTATCATTTATTAAATTATTTAACTATGGAATAGTAACTTTCGCGCAATAAGATATGTTCAACATTAAATTGTATTTTAAATTAAATTTATTGAGTTTGACACGACTTTGACGAATTATAGTGGTAAAACAACAACATCCCACACGCAATAAATTAAACTGATAGATAGCATTTTTTTTCCACATTCATTCCTAAATGTTAATAACTTTTGACTGATAATTTTATTCAGTCTTTTGAGCAACAAAAATAATTGATGGAAAATCATACATTTCATTTAATTGTTTCAGATTAAGAGTTGAGTTAAAAAAAAAACGATGGATTTAAAATAACTTCAGTCATCAAATTTTGAAACATTTATTTTATCTATCTAATTATTATGGATCAAGTCTAATATTGCCGTCGGAAGTTCAAGTTTTCTGCCCTTGTGATATAAATCTGATTAGTATGAGCTTTACAAAACTTCACAAAAAAAATATGCGTTCGGAAATTTTACTTCATTAATTGATCTTTATCACCATTTTAAATTAATTTTACAGTTTAATTTAACACTTTTCACATTTTAGAAACCAATAATATTTAATCACAAATGTTCGATATTCTTAAAAGTTGTTATTTGTCACATCAATTTTGCCGTGATGGTTTGAATTCGAGTAATTATCAGCTGAATTTAAATGTGTCTGCATGATAACCATATCGCCAAGCCAGATAGAAGAGTTTTGGCATCGTTAATGCGTTCACTATTTGAAATCAATTTGCTTTTCTGACGAAAACCTCACAAAAGAGATTCAGTTGTTACGAGAATACTTATTGACGACATGTATGAATGAAACATTCAACTTAACTGAAACGGATTAAAATTTAGTGTGCAGTAAAGGTGTGTGCTATGTTTGGTCGATGCTATAGCTTATTAATCAATTGTGGGCGCCTAACGCTCCTGCATGCGAGATAGAAAGAGAAAAATACGATAACCACTAACGAACAATGTGAAGCAAAGGGAAAACCGCATACTAACACAAATATAAGACCATACATATATATTATGAATGCTTGAAAAAACCACGACGAGCATGTGTTGTGTTTAAACATGAATGACCACTACAACGATATCGCATTCAAGTGTGCACAATAATAATATGCGGCGTCAGAGGATGGAAAGAAACGAACATATTGCTTTATATCATATGACGTTTAAAGTACAACGGCAATACATTAAGAAAAATACTTCCAGTATTCGGCAGTGTGTCATTGGGGAAACTTCAATAAATTTTGTAAACGTCTCAATAAAACATTCGAATTTATTGAAGATTCAATGAAACTAGAGATATACAGAACTGTTTTGTTTTCAATTTTCACATGAAATGAATATCTGACACGAAAATTATTCGCAAAATTGAAAAATAAATAAAAAACTCTCAAAATAATAAACATCTTTACAGCATCCTTTCTTCTTGCTGTGTCTCCAAAAATTGACTCAGATTAAGAACTATTAGCCACGCCTTCAAATACTTATGAATAGAATGCTTCCTTTGTGTTTGATAGGTGAGGCTGTCAAGAGCATGTATTGACAATGTATATGTACTCTTATACCTTATTGTGCTGCTTCAAAGGCATGCTCTATACTGTGCTCTCTTACTCTTTCTACTTTGATCGTACTCTTTCACACAATATAACGGTTCGAGTCGTGTAAAATAAGGGGAAAATTCCAGTTTTAATATTATGAACAAACGTTTGGATTGGACTGGAAGTGACTATGACATCATAAACATATCATACTGGATTTCAGAATGAAATGCTGTCATTTTATTGTAATGCGTAAATTTGATAGTTTTTCCAAATATTTTACGAATAAATAATTTCTTTCATCATTAAATTAGACGTGATATTATGCAAAAATTCCAAGTTAATCGAAAATATATGCCTTACCTAAAAAATAATAATGTGAAATTATATGAATTTATTGTGAAGGTGTTTGAATAGGTAAATATTGACGCCACCACGAGATCACTAGTAAAATTTTATAAAATATTAGCAGGAAGCAAGCATCTGATAAGAGACTGCGAAGTGTTTGTAAATGGAGAATGGCTTTGGAAGACACAAGAAACTTTTCATGACTATTATCAGTTGAGAATGGAATTCATAAAGGAAAATGTCATTTGAATTCCAGTTCATCATGCGATCCAAACGAGTCGAGATAATCTAGTTGGTAGTGAATAACGCAAAAATTCGTGCGATAGTTCATTCAAGTATTCCACGCTTGAAGCTGAATTTTATGAATCGAATAAAGAATGTTTATGTGTTGAATAAAACAATAGGGAAAGCCAAGTTTTCATGATCACACGAATTCAAATTGGATATTTTCCTTTCGAAATCATCACGCAACTGGTTAGCATGAAAATACCCAATACACTGGACGTGATGATCTTTTTAAAAACACTTGTGCGTGAGTGTGATATTGATGGACGCGTGCAAGACGCCATTTATGTATACACCACAAAATGCCTCTCATTGCATTTTGTGCAAACACCGCGAATTCCACACAATTGTCCCATAAATTTTTCACGCCAGCATAAGCATAGAATTCGTTCATGACCAAGATCATATACGGTTTGTCTGCTTTTGAAGTTCGTTCTCTGGTTTGGCTGTGCGTGTGAAGCAAATTTATAAAAGTCACAAACAAACCACGAACAATAACAGTATTTTTAAGCCATCCAAAGCAATTGTAATAACGACTAACCTACAAAAAAACTATTGATGACGTTTCTTTGTGATAAAATGGATAACTACAATTCAACGAATGTTAGCGCCCAGTTCACACCTTGGTCTCTATTGTTTTTGTTGTGCAACTTTTATCTTCATTGTTCTTATTTTTCTGTACAAACACAGTGAAATCTTGAGTAAATATATAGTTGCACAAGCGAAATTTTTTTTCATTCTTACATAAATTCGTTAGAGGATCAACTAGATTTTTTGATGTTATTCATCATTTCCTAGTGATATTTTTCGAATATTTTTGTTCATCTCTTTTTATCAATTATAAAATTAATTTGGTTGAATTGTGGATTACTTTGAAAAATAATAACTAATATTTAGCGATATAGTTATCCATTCAATTCACTTTATTACAAATCATTGATTTGAAATCAATAATGAATGAAAATGTGTGTTTTTTTGTTTCGGTATAATCGTTATCTGTGGCATCTTATTGGACGAAAAGATAATTACGGATGGCTAACGGCTTCTTTGCTTCCCATAAAAATATCTGAACTGAGATTTCGACTTTATAGCCTTAAACAATATGCAATCAAAATAAATAGAAAAGAAATCCATCCAATCAAAAACTTTGAAAAGGCGGCCGTTCAGCATAACTTCTCTTGCTTAACGATAAATTATAGCCAATTAATAATTTTTGCTTTCATCATCATCATCCAACGAACGCTCACATATCCATTGAAATCCGCTCAATTTTGTTCGGGTGTATCTTTGCTGCTTTTTAAAATATGCACATTTTTGTGTGTCATGGGTATTCGACTCTCACTTGCAATTTTTTTCTTTTTAACGGACGTCTCATAACAAATGCGTGAAGAAAAACGATGACTTTTTAAAAGAAATTAAAATAATTACGCTACGTATAAACAATTTGTGGTTGGACGCTCGTCTTCACCATCTCATTTTCTTTGTTAACTGCATCGTTTTTTTTTTATTTTTTTTTTTTACTATAGCTTTCGGGTTATATACGTTTGTGCGGATCGCAAACAAAAAAATTAACATAATTGACCAATTTTGGGTAAATTTTATCTAAATGATTTCTGAATAATCGAGAAACGAGTCAAAAGAAATAATTAAAACGCCATTCTCTATTACGAATGTCTTGGAATAATAAAATACGATCAAATTCAAAGAAACACTAAAGAAAAATGGAAAATAAAATAACGGTAAGAAAAGCAACAAAAACTATGAAAAACTTATACCAAAATCTATTTGAACCACGAATAGTATATTTTCGAACAAAATTGAATATAAAAAAACGACAAAAATATAAGAGTGTAAACCGTTTCCACCTTCAATTCATAATGTTTTGATATGAACTGTAATTTGAAATTGATTTTTTTTGTCAAAGCATTTTTCTCGATTATTCTACATCGTCGTTTTCATAACAATTCATTTTTCAATACACATTACACATGTATCAGTAGAATTTAGTGACTTATATTTTAGAATATTTGTTCAAAACTTTAAATTGATATTATACCTCGTTTTTGACATGGTGCAAAACATTTTTCATCTCAATTAAAAAGAAAAAAACATTTTTTTGCTTTCAATAATTTATGAATTATTTCAATTTTGAAAATGATTTTTTAAATGGTTAAGTATGTTTAACCAAAAGATTGTAAACTTCATACTTTAGTAAGTATGTAAATTTTAGAAAATAAAAAAAAAAATCATTTCTGCCAATCGTCGGCTCTCACTATATTTTGATAGTCAATCTGTAAATTCAAATACAAATATATTCGCTGGCAAACCCTTTTAAATTTAAATTAAATTTGACGCAAGACGAAAAGGGCGTGTACGTTTTTTGGATTATATAATACAACACGCATGTGCACTTTAATGGTTATTTTGCACTCACAAAAACAGACGCATGCGACAATTGCGATACATTTGAATATTGTATTTGAACACCACAATCAAACACCAAAAGTCTACCAAGGTAGAGCTTATTGGTCAGTCTTCCAAAACTGTGTAATTTCGGTTTACTTGATGCGGGTATGTATATATGACTATGTTTGCGCGCAAAATTGTTACATTATGCAAAATCTTTACGAGCTGCTCCTTGCAAGTGTGATAACGAACAGCTGAATCGCTTATTTTACTTGCAGCAAATCGCATTTTGGGTAATGCATTAACTACATTACTCACGATGTATGTATAATTTCCTTATTTTCTGGAGCGAAAACAACGTTTTATATATAAACACTTGAATGTCTAGTTTAATTTTATTCTTGAAATTAATTTAGAGATAGAAAATGTGAGTAGACTATGCTTTTTGATTATTCCATTTCACAACACATATGGAAACAAATCGAGCTGTACGCAAACACACTTACATATTTAAACTAACATATATACATATACACAGACATGTGTTGCCTTTTATAAGTGCCTCATTTATATAGTTATAAATTTATAAATGTTTTAATTAACAAC